TTTGACACTGTTGACCACAGCATATTACTAGACCGACTGGAGAACTGGGTGGGACTTTCGGAAACAGTTCTGAATTGGTTTGAATCCTACTTAAAGGACAGAAACAACTTTGTTTCTATAGGTAAATACACATCTGAGTTGACAAATATGACATGTGGGGTTCCTCAAGGCTCCATCTTGGGGCCTCTTCTCTTTAACATCTACATGCTACCACTGGCTCAGATAATGAAGAACAACAAAATAAGTTACCATAGCTATGCAGATGACACACAAATTTACGTAACAATTTCACCAGGAGACTATGCTCCAATTCAAACACTGAGTAAGTGCATTGAACAAATCAATGACTGGATGTGTCAGAACTTTCTCCAATTAAACAAAGATAAAACTGAGGTAATGGTCTTTGGAGCCAAGGCAGAACGTATAAAAGTTAGCGCTGAGCTTCAGTCTGCAATGTTCAAAACAACAGATAAAGCCAGAAATCTAGGTGTAGTCATGGACTCTGACCTGAGTTTCAACAGTCACATTAAAACAGTTACTAAATCAGCTTACTATCACCTAAAGAATATATCTAGGATTAAAAGACTAATGTCACAGCAGGATTTGGAAAAACTTGTCCATGCTTTTATCTTCAGTAGACTCGACTACTGCAATGGTGTCTTCACAGGTCTCACTAAAAAATCTATTAGGAAGCTGCAGCTAATTCAGAACGCTGCTGCTCGAGTCCTCACTAACACTAAGAAAGTGGATCACATCACTCCTGTTCTGAAGTCTTTACACTGGCTTCCTGTGTGTCACAGAATAGATTTCAAAATACTGCTGCTGGTTTATAAAGCACTGAATGGTTTAGGCCCAAAATACATTTCTGACCTCCTGCTAAATTATGAACCATCCAGATCTCTCAGGTCTTCAGGGACTGGTCAGCTTTCTGTCCCCAGAGTCAGAACTAAACATGGTAAAGCAGCGTTCAGTTATTATGCTCCAAATATCTGGAACAAACTCCCAGAAACCTGCAGGTCCGCTGCAACTCTTACTACTTTTAAATCCAGGCTGAAGACTTTTCTTTTTGTCGCTGCTTTTAATTGAACTATTCATATCTTAGACTGCACTGTAACTTTTATCCATGTATTTTTTCTTTTAATGTTTATTTTATTAGCTTTTCTTTTTAATGACTGATTTTAAATGCCATTTTCTTAATCTCTTTCATTTTTTGTAAAGCACTTTGAATTGCCTTGTGTTGAAAAGTGCTATATAAATAAACTTGCCTTGCCTTGCCTTGCCTTGCCTTGCCTTGATGTCAGTCAGAAAGTAGGCAGAACAAAAAAAAGGAAGATTGGGGTTGATCTAAATACGTGATCCCAGGAGTGTCAGTGACCCAATACTTAGTTGAAGTCCCAAAAGAGAGAGAGAGAGAGAGAAGTGAGAGCAGGGGAAGTTTGCTAATTTATTCAAGCACCTGAAAGTTGAAGACACCTTGTTCCTCTTCTCGTCTGGAGCATGAACTCAGTCACGTGGTGTCTCACGCATGCAGAAACACATTCACAAAAAACGTTGCCTGAGTAGCCGGGGGGAACCAGAGATGCAGAGAGAGATTAGGTAGCTTACATTTCTATAGTCGAGGCAAATTGGAAGCAAATGTCCTCCTAAAATAGTAAAAGGACAGCTTCTCCTTGTACACACTAACACTGAGTTTCTAATCCGCGTCCAGGAAGCTAATGAGAGAGTCAATAAAGAGTGCCTGTGTTTCATTTCCCAAACATCTCAGACTATGCAGGCAAAAAGATTCACAAAAAAATCACAATTTAAGACAAAAACCTAAATGTTTTGATAATGAATTCCAGATCGATAATGATACTTACTGTTTGCTAGGTTTTAAAGGGGCATATCTTCCAAGGAAGTGTAAGCCATTTTCCATGTTGTAATCTCTTACACAATTCCAATGTAATACTGCAGACACACCTGACCAAACTTTGAGGTAAGGTTTTTTTTTTAGAGGGGAAGTTCTCCGTCTTTCCATTTCTTTGTTCTTGTCTCCTCCTATTTACGAGAATGTATGAAGAATATCTGACAAAAGAGGATTAGTATGAATGACAGCATGTAATAAGCAGCTAGATTCACTGATGGACATGATAAGAAGAATACACAAAAACCCCGCTGATATTCCAGATCAGTGGGTATAGGCTGACTGTCACAAAATGACACTACTTTTAAAGATAACCCACCATTGCTAAATGTTTAACCAACATTATGCTGTCATGTAAGAGCTAAGCCAATATATTGCTGTTTTAATGCTTGCCTGGTTTTCCTCAAGGCCTTTTGAGTGAGGAGCCTGTTGAATTTGTCTTTGGCTACAAACATATCAGCCTTGAAACATGAAAAAGTGAGAGAAGGAGAGAAGACGTAAATGAGGACAGATAGCAGATTTAGTCATGTCTCTTGATGAAAGGGCTATTTCTCTCCTTGTTTCTAAAGATTGCTTTTTCCTCCCCCCCTCCCATAGTCTGTTCCCCTTACTACTCACTCTGATGTTTGTCCTGGCACTGCTGGGATGGCAGGAGCCCTCACAACAGGAACTACTGGGTTATTCCCCCTACAAGTCTTTCACACAGAAAATATGAAGCCATGTATTAAAACAGTGTATGCTGTAGTTATTATGATACAAGAGTTTTTAAAGTGAAAACATATAACCCTCTGAGACTTAACAAGTGAACTAACTCATGCTGTAATTCTTGTAGCAGATAACAGTCTTTAAATCATTTCACTTGTTAATCTTTATGATACCAAATTGGTACTGGTTCCTTGTGACTAAGGTGGACTTAAAGAGATCCTATCATGCTTTTTGGGGATTTCCCTTTGCTGTAGTGTGTCATATAGGTGTGTGTGTGCATGTTAATTATCTGCAGAGGCTAAAATCCCAAAGTTCCCTACAGAGGGAGTTCAGAGCCGGCCAGCTGACCAATCAGAGCAGATGGGCTCTGGTTTCAGACAGAGGGTGAAAAGAGGTGCTGCAGCACAGGCAGCATGAAGTAAATAAAGCACAATAGGGCCCCTTTAATTTAAACTTCAAGCTTTAAGCGTTAGCTTTGATGCTCTGTAACCCCAGGTGTTAGTGAGATATGAACTTTATTACAGACATCCGAAAACTATACCCTATGTCCTTTATTTCTTCTTGTAGGGGGTGTTCATGGTGACAAAATCTGAAGAAAATCCTGCTTCCCCAATTTGAGGTACTTCCTGTTTAAGCTAAATGCAGGCCGTGACAACACACAGGGCGGGATCACTCGAGAGCAAATCCACTGATATCATCTGGGAAAGCCTGACGCAGGTTTATTTGATGGGTGTGGCAGGCAGGGGTCACTGATACAACGTTTTCCATGATGGTTCTTTATGGTTGTGTGTGTTAAGTTAAAGCTTGCTTTCATGGTACATTTTCTAAATTAGTGTGGGTGTTTCTCAAAGAAACACATTATAGCTCTGAGTGATCTTGAAATAACTACATTACAATTCATGCTTGACTTCAAATGTGTGTGTATTTTCTTGGTGAGTGGTGATGTTTTTTTGTTAAATCCATTGTCCTTTAGTTGAATGGTTGCCTATGCTCTAAATGTTTGAGGTGATGATGATGTGATGAGTAACTCCATAGCATTCATCCCAGGTCACCAATTCTCTATGCCATTGTTGAACCCTTTTTAAAACTATAAATAGCTCTTTACGGGTTGAGACAAGCTGTCTAAATGTACTGCTCCATCCTCTCTTATAGTCATACAGTTTTGGTGGGTGGGGGCTGATGACTCAGCACCACGTGGATCTCCGTGCTTGCTTTGTGTGGAGGTGATGTGGGCAGGGCTAGAGTGGAAGTGTTTGGTAAACTGCATTTTCTCTCAAACCTGTGTGTGTTTAACAGGGACTGATGAATAGACAGACAGACCAGCGGTTTGCTGATTATTCTGCAATATATTAACTTTTTTACTGCATGACAAAATCGTTTGTGGACATTTACTCTCAGTGTGGAACTGTAGAAAATCACATATAAGATTCAAAATCAGATAAGGAATTTGACAGTTTTGTTCATTCTCTCAATGCATTTAATAATCAATAAAAAGCACAAGGCAACAACAAAAATGTAAATACAATAACATGTCTATCAAGGGCTCTGCCAATTGTGAACTATAAAACTATTGCAAAGAATAAACACATTATTTCCTAACTTCATTGGTTTGCATTGTAAAGTGATATGTTGCTGGTTCAGGCCAAGGTTACAGGACAAACTGAATGGCTAAAGGAGGCCAACATGACATAGCCTATGTGGAATATCCGTTTTAAAATCACGTCTGATAGTGCCCTGAATTGTAAATAATAGGTAAATACAATCAGTTTAGACGTATCCCTAGTTTAATCACTTTATGAATTGTACCCGGTAATGGTACAAATCTCAACCTGTCGTTCAATGGACAGCTTCCCCCCCCCCCATCTATGTATATACTTGCATTTTAGACTCTGTTACTAACTGTATATCTGTAGACTTGGTATGTCTTAAATGTCCGGTTAGGATGTATTAGAACGAAATCTAAAATGAAAATTGTAAACAAGCAATCTGTATGTAAAAAAACCACCTGTATGTAAATTGTAAATAAGCCATCTGTATGTCAAATATGTCTTATATGTCTTAAATGACATGATGAATTGGAAATGGGGGACCCTGATGTAAACAAGACGAAAGTCTTTCTCTGGTCTGCATCCCCTTAACAATTGTATGTTTTGAGCTGTACTGTACTGTACCCAATATACAAGCTGTTAATAAACTTTTCAATCAATCAATCAAACCACCTCTACTGCAAAACCATTAGTGTGTGTGTGTGTGTGTGTGTGTGTGTGTGTGTGTGTGTGTGTGTGTGTGTGTGTGTGTGTGTGTGTGTGTGTGTGTGTGTGTGTGTGTGTGTGTGTGTGTGTGTGTGTGTGTGTGTGTGTGTGTGTGTGTGTGTGTGTGTGTGTGTGTGGTCATTGGGAATTCACCTGTGTGACGTCACGCCTCAGTGCTCTGCAGCGCGCTGCCACAGAGCTGCAGCAGTACAGAGTCGGGCTCGGAGACAGAGGGAGCTGAGTGAACCGCAGCCGCCTTCAACACTTCCTTAAACTCCATTGAAGTTTTTCAAAGTCGAACCTCCTGGGGAAGCCGTGCTGCTTCAAAAACTAAAACCGGGGTTACAAACTCGCGACGAACAAGACACTTTCCAAGACAGCGGAAGAGGTTAGTCGCTGTTTTTTGAGAAACTTGGGGTTACACTTGGTGTTGTTTGACACTTGGGACACTTGCTTTCTTGCAGGGAACTAGGTGTCAGGAGTCGCCTTTCTTTACTAGTCCCGGCTTTGGCTCTTTGTTTTGTCATAGAGGAGCAAACCTCTGTTCACATCAGTAGTAGGCTATTTGTGATAATAGGACCGTGTGGCGGTTGGGAACGGGAGGAGTTGCTGTCGCGGAATGTCGTTCTCTCGCCGTGTTACAGTGGGAGTTACGCAACGTTAAGCCATGTTTCAGTGCTGCAGGTCGGTGTCACACAACATAGACTGTGCTCGCCTCTGTTAGGCGGGAAACAATCATCAACACCGGGAAGAAAGTATGCTTGCTTCAGAAAGTCCTCTAGCGAAGTGTTGTATTCTATGGCAACAGGGGACACTTGGGAAACTAACAATGGAGGTACACGGAGGCGTTTGTCAGTATGCTAAAGAACCACAATGAGCACAAACGAGAGAAAGTAGATATTTAACCCATTTAAAGATGAGTTCCTTGTTTTCAGTTTTTCCTTTGAAACCCATTAATTCCATGCCTTAAATATCCCTAACTATGGTGGTTTAAATTAGTTACAAAATAAAGGCTACAATATGTACCATTTGAGAAACCAACCAGAATAAGCTTAACTTGCCAACACTTGTTAAGTGAAAGTAGCTCCTAAAAAGCTACAAAAGTCAAAACATCTGGCCAGAAAGTCTGCAAGTTGGCAGAAAATCTGACCGCTTGTTCTTTTAGGCCTCCCTTTTGAGTCATGCAATTATCAACATCAAGGTAAACATGTAATTATGGCTTTAATATGAGCAGTCCAAAGTTACAATTCCAGGTTATAGACCTGTCATACAGAAAGGCAGCACTGACAATAATAAGGTCCATATAAACTCACTGTTGAGTCCCAGGTCTGTATACTAAAGCAACTCTTCTACTCTACAGATAAAATCTAGTTTTTAACATCACATTTTGTCACTGTTAAAGTGACAAAATGTGAATAAAACCTTAATTTCTTGAAGTTCAAAATTAAATCAAGATACCTTGATTTGGAGCTGACTTTTCTGTCTTTCATGGAGTCCCAGGCTTCGTTATTTTGGTTTCTGCCGTGATTTGACAGAAAGCAGCCAGTGTTATTACAAAGACAAAACACATGATTACCGAAAACACCTAACGCTCATTGTGGTGTGACTTGAAGTGGAGCCGGTTTGAGTAGTTCAGCTGAGTTTGGTCCACAAGCCTGAAAAGTCAAAGGTTCACTGCAGTCAGGTGTCACAAAACTTATCTTATTCCACAGTGTTCTGGGTGTGTAGACATTGATTGAGAAAACATATGTAAACCACAATGAGAATGATGTTTTTATGGCGACAAAAATAAGTGTGATGTGTCAGAAGGATGACTAAATAAGTGTCTCTGTAAAGACTGCCCTTAATTTCTGTGGCTGTAACAACCTTTTAAAACCACACTGCAACTGATATGACTTGTAATTTCCCACACACTTGATCCTATTTTGAAATAACCCGTCAATCTTTTGCGAAAGTCTTGTGTCACACACTACAACACAGTCTGCCTTTGTGGCAAGACTCTATCCTGTTGTTATCTTCTGGAGGCGATGCAGCTCTGCAGGTAACACTATCTGCCTGCATCTGCCTGCAGTTAGAGGTGTGTCAATATTGGCTTGTGGCTCCATGGGCTGCTCCTCGGAGGACACTGTTGGGACATCTGCTCAGTGAGGAGTTGCCCATGCAGCACTGATCCCCAGATAGTGCAAACACGCATAAAAACATCCCAGACTAATTAGACACTCTTTTGACTGATATAGGGCTATGTTTATTGTGTGTATACAAGCTGGTATGCTTTAATAGGTAGGGCAAATTAAAACTCAAAAACCCATCAACTAAGCTGTAAAGTAGTACATGTTGACGTCATTGAAGATATTTACAGATTGAAATGAAAGATTTGATTTAATTGTAGCTGTTAGTCAGATAAGTTAAAGTGTACCTATCATGCTTTTGTTAGGCAATAGCATAGGCCTCAGATATATAAAAAACATGTCTATGAAGTGTTTTGCTCAAAATAACTAACAGATCACCCATTCTAGCCATGCCTCATATCCATCTATTTTACTTCCTGTTTCAAAAGTGCTGATTTGGGGTAATAATAAATAAATAAAAAAAGGACGGGGGCTGAGCTCATGCGGGATCCGGCAGCTACTGTCTAAACTAAGGCCCCGGCCACACGAGGACGAAAACGGCTAAACGCATAGGATTAACGCAAACGCAATCGCAAAAAAGCTTCCGTCCACACGCAATATTCACCGGATAGTGTCTGTCCACACGAGACAGCTCCGTTTAGCTCCAACCGCTGGAGAAGCTGCAGTACATATGCAGGAGCCTGTACGTGGCGCTGTAACTTCCTCCACAAAAGCAGCGAAGAAGCATGGTTGTCATGGTTGCCCTTCTGTTTATTCTCCGCGGTGGGGGCCGAGGGAACCGGGCAGAGTTTTTCGCCAGTCAACGTGTATTAAAGTTGAAATCTTCCGACAAAATTATAAAAGTGCCGGTCAAAGGTCTTCTTTGTTATTTATTGAGCTTTAAAACAAATGAATAACGAATCTATATATTATAATAATAAAATACACGGAGCCTCTCTTTTTCCTCCCTCTCTTCTGACAGCTTCAGTGTCTGTCTCATGCAGCAGCTGATCCAGTAATGAGTGACCCGGCCGACAATAAAAATAAACATATTTATAACTAGTTTAGGTAGTTTGAGAGGTAATTAAAATAGCTAAGGGTGATGATCTGACTTGAAGTGTGTGTTTTGTTCCGTTCACCGCCGCATCACAGCGGGAGGAGCTGCAGGTGAGCAGAGCTGCGTGTCTCCGTCCTGTAAGATTAGACTTCACTCGCGTTTATGTCCATATCGAGAGAAAGATAAATAATCTGAATTCAGTGTGCAGTTTACTTTGACGCGGGGGTGAGCAGCAGAGGTGGGGAGAGGCGGGGCTATTGCCTCATCATTATCAGAAAATGATCGTATAGGTCGTACACACGGAGCCGTTGGACCCCCCAGAGCGTTGCGTATGCCGTTCTATCCACCTTGGGACCCGTTATCGTTTCCACAGTCGTTTAGTGCCGTATTCGGTCATCCTCGTGTGGCCAAACGGTCTATATGACACTAAACAGTAACGCAAACTACCGTTTTCGTCCTCGTGTGGCCGGGGCCTAAATGCTGCGGTGATGAAACGCCATATCATGGATTATCAAGGATTATTTCTGAAACAGTATGGAGCTCAAAGGCTTTCTCTCTTGCCGGTTATACCACAAGGTGAGTTCCTTTTTACTTCCTGCTTCTTCACACACATGCTCTCCAGTACAGGTTAGCTCTGAGTGTTAGCGAATAAGACCATATTACGTCCAAAACAGTCGGGCATTGTTTCTGATAGCAACGTTTCTGATAGGGCCGTGGGTGTAAAGCCAGCCTAAATTTCCGATATTACGTCATATCGGAAGCAAATCTGAATCAGCTCCGTTGTAGCCCCGTTTTTAGAAATGTGGGTACGGAGGAAAAGAGAGAGGGTTTTATTTGCTGACGCTGCGTGAGTTCCCCGACACACAAAAAGTGCATTTTGCATGATAGGTCCCCTTTAACATGCAGAATCAAATCAAAATCAGAAAACTTTATTTATTCCAAGGGAATTTTCGGGACAGTTGCTCCATTTTAGAATGAAACTCAATTTAAAGAGAAAATAAAAGAAAACAAATATTTCCATAATCGTTAAGAAGTTAAAGCAAGTATTTAAAATACATAATAAAACACATATATAATGTTATATACATATATTTTTAACAACAATATAAAAGAAAAAAGGCACAAAATAAATGTGCACATTGTACTGCTATATATCAATACAACGGTAAAGTCTAACAATTGTAATTTTTTGAAATACTGAAAATAGTTTGGTAGATGTAGTTTTTACTAGAAAACATAATGCATCGTAGGGCTGCTCGATTATGGCAAAAATCATAATCTCGATTATTTGGGTCAATAATTGATATCACAATTATTAAACGATTATCCATTTACTTTGAAAACATCAATTTATTGAAAAAAAAATTTGAACAGTATGTTTTTAACAGTTGATTACCCTGAACTTTAAGTTTAATTCAACTAAAAAACCAATAAAAATAAATAAATAATCGTTTTATTTCGATTATGTTGTTTTCATAATCGTTGCAAGCCAAAATCGTAATTGCGATTAAAATACGATTAATTGAGCAGCCCTAATGCATTGTAGACATTTAATTTTGGCATATACTGTACTGTATATGAAACACAGGTATGCTATTGAGAACAGTAAATATAGCCCCACTTTCATTAAAAACTTCTTTTTTTTTATTCACTATGAAAAGTACAACATCTGATTCTTCTTATGAGGACCTGCTGTTATGCATAAGCATTCGCACGCAGACACTCACTCACAAAAACACAGGCATTTGTTAAGAATTTGCCGAGTCAGCAGTGGCTGATGATAGTTTAGCTCACTACTTGTCCCTTGGCCTCTTGTCCTCTCTCTCTCTCTCTCTCTCTCTCTCTCTCTCTCTCTCTCTCTCTCTCTCTCTCTCTCTCTCTCTCTCTCTCTCTCTCTCTCTCTCTCTCTCTCTCTCTCTCTCTCTCTCTCCGTCCGTCTTTCTCTCTCACGACACACACACTCCACATCATGCTCTCCTGCTTGGCTCTCCATGCTCGCTCGGATGCTATTTTGTCTGTCTTAACCGAGGCTTTGTGAACTGTGAGCGAGGCAGAAATGGACACCACTCTTAATGCATGTGGGGAGAAGACACACACACACACACACACACACACACACACACACACACACACACACACACACACACACACACACACACACACACAGTGGCAGGATTCATTCCATGCTGGTATAGCAGGTTTGACACGGTGCCAAAGAGCTCA